CTTCCTGTTTTGTGTTGGTGCTGATATTCTGTGGTTTCAGGACTTAAAGAAGTAAGTCAAGTATTACTACGGTTCCAGGAAGTAGATATAGATCCTTCTATTCTACTCCCTATAAACATCATTTGATGCAGAACTTCTATTTGTGCTAAGATTACGAGTAACTTTATTGAAAAACTCAATGGATTTGCTTAACGAGTTGAGCTTTCTAATTCTGTTAATTTGTAGGTTTTATGACTATTATCGTAAATTAGCTCTTGGAGCTGCTAGAACTTGTTGTGTATTTTCTTAGAGTTGTGCGCCCTTTTATGTATGATTGTTTGCTGACCAAGTTCTTTCAGTTGGTTATATTAGTTTAATCTGAAAGCTGAGAAATAGGCTTAATGTATCTTGATGCTTGGCTTTTTCAATTCGCTGCTCATGTGATATTAAAATGTGTATTTTTTTTCTTCTTTTGTTTGCCTGTTTGGGTGCTCACGTATTGGCCGCGGGAGGGGGGTTGTCTTATCTTGTCTATTCCTTTCTAGGCTGCCAGACCTTGTTATCCAGGTATGCTTGGAGGTACTGTTGCCTTTTTTTATTCAAACTTGGTCCTTATTTGATTATGTCTCCAGGGAAGAAACTTAATTTTCACGATAGTATTTTAGAAAGCCATGAAATTAATGATTTCAAGTGGTGTTCCTATAAATTGGCTGTGCCATGGCTGTTGGGTGGTAAAGTGATGCTTATATGCACGGATCATCCACTATGGGTGTATACTAACACATCTTATTTGCGAAGCTGAGGATTTTTTTTGTTGTGAATTAGTTAGGGAGTCATAATTCTTGTGGCGGTAATTTGTATGTGGTCTTGGAGAAATTTTTGAGCAACTTTAAGTTTATGTGACACTGCATGGCTCATAGGGTAGCTGCTGCTTTCATAATGCCTCTAGGTGATCAACAAATATATTGTGAGCTTCACTCACTTAAATTTCTGCTGCACTGTTGTACTCTGATTATTTATGGCAGAGTCATGGGTTAGCTGACAATTTGTTACATTTTGGTATTTTCCTTTTTCTCTTTTTTTTTGGTGTGTGAATAAACGAAAGATCCTCCGTGAATTAGGTTTTTGTGGTTTCTTTCTCTTTGTTGAAGTAAAGATTGTTTTAAAAGCCGTATTGTTCAGAGGGCTTTTGACATTTGTTTTATGGACCAAGCAAACTTCTCATGTCACACCACCACCAACTCCTCCTCCCGATCCTCCAGAAGAGGATAGGGGTACTTACTTATAGATCCTTCATGTTTTCAATGCTGGCCTTCGTATGAGTTCAGGCAAAGAATTTAAAGTTGCATTTCTCTGCTCCTGATAGATATAAGCTGAAAAATTCAGCCCATCTGCATGGTTGTACAACTAAAAGATTTTGTATATATGGTTTGATTATTTGTGCTACATTGATATTGTTTCATCTCATTCTTGAATGGCATTAGTACAGGCAGAAATGCAGAGACAGACATTGGATGCCAGTTTTATTTTTGAACTATGTTAAATCTAGTAGATTATTTTCTTGATGTGCATTTGTTTGTACAATTCCAATTGTGCGTTGCTCTGATTTGAAGTGTTGTTCGGGAGGGTTTGACCATTTAACCTTCTTCCTGAGACAGTTAAAGATCAGTTTGCATTATTCCTTCTTTCTTTTTGGTTTCTATGTCAATTTTAATGCATCTCTTAACTGTTATTGGCATCTATAACTGACACAATCATTTGAATTTGGGTTCTATCATTTTTCATGAGTATTAACATGAGAATTTTCTCTAATTATCGTATTCAGGGAGCCGCGAGGCAACTCTCTGTTTTTCGTGACTAAATCAGCATATTTTGGTTATCTGGAGGAAGATGAGTTAAATTGGACAATTGTTTGAAAATGCTAGTCTCTGCCTAGTGCCCTAGTGCGCCTGAGATGTTTGTCTGTAATTTTGTTTTCTTTAGCATATAACATCGTGAGCATCCAATTTAGATAGGGATGCATCAGCAGGCCCACCAGTCTTTTAAAGCTCTACTGTGAGCTATGTATTGTAGATATGTAGTAGGTTCCATCATGTGTAATGTTTCATACACGTATTTTTTGCTCTTTTTTGAGCTTTGTAAAGATCTTGTACCAAGTCTGCTGAGCACTTTGTCCTGTAGATTTCAGTATGGTGGGTTTGTACATAGTAATGCTAGTCTAGGTTAGTTGTGGTCGGTTAGAAACTTTTGTATGGTGCTGTAATCCAAAATATAGGTGATTGCTGTAACATCTGGAGGAGTTGGCTTATTATTCATCGCAGATACAGATTGCATCCGTGGGAACCTCCCTGTAGGCCTGTAAAAACATTTTTGTTGTTAGATCATACACCAAGTGTAAATTTCTGTTGTAATATCTGATAATTTGATCGGCTCTGCTTTCTTGTAACTCATTATGTAAACTTGTGCCGCATTGGCTGTATATAATGTTAACATAATTTGATTTAGGAGTAACAAGATGTGGGTTTGGATGTATCAAAGGGCCCAGGGACAGGCACCAGGTTCTTGCTGCCTTTAACCAATTGTATCTTAATTTTCTCTTCCATTTTTGGTTTTAGCTTCAGTTCAGTACATGTTAGCCACTGAGACATCTGTTAATTACTAATTAGCCTGGAAGTTGATGTTTCACCAATTAGTTCAAGTCTCTAGAATTGATCAGAGAAACATTGAATGCATAAGATATCTCTCTTGCATTCATCTTTTTCTAGTATCTTTGCGATAAAATTCTCCTTCAATATAAGTTGCATCAGTTGCTCTGAGACAGTGCTCTATTCTTGACTTATTTGCAGTTCTTTCGGTTTGGTTACCATGTAATGTACGTCTCTTGGTGTCTTTTCTTTAGGTTTTTTGTATTTCCTAATAGTGTTTGTTCTCTTCACCATTTGAGCTGTGATATTTGGAGCTACTATATTAGTCTTCTCTCTCTGTTTTGGTTCATTTCCGTAGCAGCCTGTGTTCCTGACCTGAACTATTAGAAAATGAAAGAAGAATTTGTGTGCACGATTGACAATTACCTGCTCATATCCATTCTCCTTCATTACCCCCCAACTTATTAACTGTAGGGGGGTCTGCAGTTAACTGAGAAGGCGATTGATTGGCTTAAAAGGAAACGAGTTGAGATATATACATGTTTCCAATCACTAATTAGTGATTAGAAGTTGTGTTTTAATCTTGCTTGATATAACATCTGGTCTTGACAGAGTTAACGTTTAGTACTGATATGTGTTGCATTATTTGACTTCAAGTTTGGTATGTTCTTTCGTGCAATTTGTTGATAATTTTTTGGTTTTGTGTTCTTTTGATTTAATTAACTTATGCACAATAGTGTGATTTGTACCATTGAAATGAAAAGCTATTTGTTTGTATGTATGGTATGTTTGTCTTTCAATTGTTTTCATTCTCAATAATAGCCAAGTTAGAAAGACATCCATCTCACTTTTTTCTTATACTCCCTCTGTCCCAATTTATATGACTTACTTTCCTTTTTAGTTGGTTCCAAAAAGAATGACACATTTCTATATTAAGTAACAATTTAATTATAAAATATTTATTTTACTCTTAATGAAATGATTTACAGTCATACAAATTTCTATCATTCATTTTGGACCACAAGTTTTAAAAAATTTCCTTTCTTTCTTAAACTCTGTGCCGAGTCAAACGGTCACATAAAATGAGACGGAGGGAGTAGTTGTTATCAAATAATTAATGAGCATTCGAACCAAATACTAGTATGAATAAATAGTTTTGGTGCTCCCCTTAGAGGCACGATGCAATATTACCTAGTACATGTACAATTCACATGAGATTTTTTAACATATCAACAAGTCTTGCATAACCCTAAGCGGAGCTATGTGCCGGTTTACATCCGATATATGTATTAAATTATTCACTAAATATTTAGAAATAGTCGAATGTAAACTTAATTATTATTGTATATTAACTTGAGACTGTTGTAGGAACCTTTATATTTCAAAATATTAGATTCACCTATGCTCCTTTATTATTGTTTATCTCCTTCTATCAAATAGTTTAGATTCCAAAATGATAGTGTGCCATCTTAAGGTGTTTCTAAACATTCAAGATTTAAAGTTTACACATTAAGAATTATAGTCCTTTCAAGTGACTATAAATTTAATTATTTGTACATATTTTATGATTTCTTAAGATAAATATAGGGTTTAGATTAAAGTTAAGATGGAACTTCACAGTCACTCCAATTTCTAAACGGGTGGATTTTATCAACAACCCTAAATGATAAACCGTTTAACTTATTATTAGTATTAGGATTTGATCTCCAATTCACGTAACTCACCCCACATCTACATGCACTCTAACCTTTTTTGCATCGTCCTGTTGTCATTTCTATGAATTAACTCCAACTACTATGTTGTAATAATACCTAAGGTGTAGCTCATATGGAATGTAAGTTTATTCATCTTAATCAATAATATATTTTTTTGGTGTTCATTCTCTCTATTTTTATGTATTTATTCAGTCCAAATTATATCTCTATTGACTCATTTGGAAGCGTATTAATTATTGTTGAATTTATTTTAAAATTTAGCAACCATGAATGGAAAGACTTACGTTTTGAGAGACCTTATTTTGTTTAAGCAATAATAGCCTAATAGGTTATTAGAAGAAGTTTGATACATTGGGACGAGCGTTGTCACAAAAAAAAAGATTTAAGTGGATTGTAAAGAAATTATCAAAAGAATCAATTAGAAAAACCTTTCAATAACTTTGCATCTCAAAGAGCTAGAAGAATTAGCTTCGTATATATATATATATATATATATCTTTTTAAGTTTAAGGCCTTCATTTGATTTTCACTTTATACCACTAATATATTTGAGCCGTCCCTTATAAAAAGAATAGGGCCTTTGATGGCCATCCTTGGACTCCGCTTAACCATTACATAATTTCATTTTGTGTTCCTATATTAATCCCTACATAACTTTATTCCTTTCTCATTGCAGCACTTTCTTTAATTTACATTGCTGCATTCAAAATAAATACAAATAAAGGAGGAAAACGTTCTTAGCAAGAAAAAAAATGGCACCTAAAATCATTGTTCTTGCTCTGGTTTTCTTCGCCATGGTTTGTATGGCCTCCGCCATTGATGATTCTACAACAGCAGCTTTGAAAGACGCAGCTAATGCTCCTATTCCAATTGAAAACAACAACATCATTGGTATTCTTTTTACGTACTTTTCAAATATATAAATAATGTCTGAATTCACTGTCAAAATTCTAACTGCATGTGTCATGTAAATTGGGACAGGTACGATTAATGGGAGTGATGACAATGAAGCTGTAGCTGCTGCACCAGTTGGTGGACCAATTTCTGGAGTTACTTTTCCTGATATAAGCCTACCACCAACACCCAATGGAGCCACCACTAGCACTCTTGATTTCACCACAATTGCCACAATTATTGTTGCTGTTTCATTCTTTTTTTAATCATGACTGGAGCTTCAATCCATGTTTAACATCTTATTTTTCTTGGTTACATATTTTCCTGTCTTTAATTTATGCTACATGTTATCTTGGACAATATGTAAAAGACATCATCTTTGTAAACCATGAAATTTTAATGAAAAATGAAAAACTTTGAATCGGATTTTCTCTTCTTCTTTAATTTATGGGAAAAGGGTCTAAAAAATACTCCAACTTTGGACGAAATTGTTGTTATGATATCAAACTTTATGGACGACCTTTTACCCCCTACACTATTTAATAGTGTATTTTAAAGGTATATATGTGTCCACGTGGACACATTACTATTTATAATGATGCAATATTTATGATGTCCACGTGGACACATATATACCTTTAAAATACACTATTAAATCGTGCAGGGGTTAAAATGTCATTTCCAAAGTTTGGTATTGTTACAACAATTTCTATCAAAGTTCGGATATATTTCAAACATTTTTCCCTTAATTTATTGTGACGGATTATTGTTTACTCTGTTTAATGTATAGGAGGTTAAGAGTTTAATTCTTTTTAGATTCGGTTTGATTACTAATTATCAGTTAAGACAAAGTAAATATAAAGTATGTAGTTTTTTTAACATTAAAAGAATCAAGTCTGGATGTTTTCTGAGTGCTTGCAGGGGATTGAAACTATCTAGAGGAAAAAGATACAATTTCCATTAGGGACGTGCAAAAACCGATAAATCGAATTGAAAAAAAGTTCTATTGGTTTATGGTTATTGGACGAATGATTTTTAATGATTTTATAGAAAACAAAATTATTGGGTTATTGATTGTTTTGGTTTTTGAATATTTGTTAGGATTATTGGGTAAATTGATAACCTATTAAGACTAGTAATCTACTAGTTTGCTCGTCATAAATATTAAATATTAATCTCAATATATTACTAGTTATTGTTTTTACCCTTTAGCCTTCAATTTACATTTCATAGTAACTTCGAGTTCACTAATTCACGTTATACGGAATGTTAAAACCTAAAGAAAGAATTATGTTCTACCTAATTTCTCTTTGTTTTACACTTGCATAATTCTTTTCATTAGTTATTATTATTTATATTTCATGAGCATTAGTAAAGTTACATTATTGTGTAGTCGTGTCAAATTATTGGAGAAGTCATATATTTATTTTATAAGCTTTTTCTTATTGTTTACATAAAAAATCGAACCGTTAACGATCAAAACCGATAAAAAATATCTTATTGATTTGGTTATTGATTTTGCATATTTAAAAATAAAAAATTAATAGACTGAACCGATAATATATAAAATCAAACCAAATCGATCGATGCTGCGGAAGAGATGACTATATGAATGCTTTCATTGGTCACTCTTTGCCTTTAGAGGATTGAAGGAAACCAAATTTGCTGAATTGGAACTAATTAATAACATTAAATATATTTTTTATGTGATCTTCTCCTCTCTTTTTTTTAAAATTAATTTTGGACTTGAAGTCCTTTTAGGGAAAATTTTCAAAACAATAATTTTATTTCTTATGTACTAGGTTTTTTATCCATGTCTATGTCTCCCGCATTTACTTCTAAATTCTTTGTATTATCTATGTTTGTTAAAAGTTCCGTATATGTTTCGCTTGTTTCCGAATGTTGTTCATCTAAATCATCGTCATTTATTTCATCAATTCTTATTTTAGATAGATTATCTTGGTTATTTTCTTCTTTTCCTTCTAATTCATCTTCTAATTGCAATTTTTCTTTAAATTTAATTATCTCATTTGCTAATTTTGTTTTGTTTCATTTCATACATTTCTTTTAACATTGCTAGCTCTTTTTCTAGTTCTATTATTTTAGTATTTTTTACTTCTTCTAATTGTTGTACTTCCTTTTTTGCTTGTTGTTTTATTTTTTCAATTTCCGTTTTTCTATCTATTTCTTCATTTTCTTTTGTTATTCTTATCATAGCAGTTAAACTATCTTCTAGTTTTACTGTTTCTTTTTCTAACATTAAACTTATATTGTCACATATTTTCTTATATCTTCTTCCTAGATTAGAAAATATTATTTTTATTTTTAATCCGTCATAGTTTTCATATGTTTTTTCAGGACACCTTAGCAATAGTTTCACTATTTATTTAAAATGACAATATTTTAGTTTGTTAAGGGATGAGTTATGTATTTATTTTATTTTGATTAATTTGAAAGAATACAAATAATTAATAACAGAATAGAGAAAATCATGGAACAAAAAATTTCAAAAAGGAAAAAAAGATTTTAAATATAAATTAGTTACGTTTTGAAAGAGCATATGTTGCCATTTTTTCTTTCGAGCGTTTTTTTGCCTTGTTCTTAAGAATTCCAAATTATTTTTTTGCAAAAAATAGTTTTGCCTTCCGAATCATTCAATTGATAATTTTCAAAGCTTCTTCGAGTTGAATTCGACATATTCTTGAAACGGAAGTTTTCAAAATTCACGACTATAATTTCGTCAGTTCCATTGAATTCAAGAAATTTCAACATCAAATATTTTTGTTTTTGTTGATTATTTTATTTGTTTGGATGATATATTTGTATATCTCGACTATAATAGTGGGTTATTTTTTTTCTGATGAAATCGGTGAAATCTTTGTATGGTTTGATATTTTTAGCTTTTTTGGATGTTTTGTATCCAAACTATGATGTAGAACGATTGAAAGTGTTTGATTTTTTTTAGTTTCGTAGCAATTTTCTTTTTATTTGAATGCATACAATATTTTTGTATCCCATTATGTTAATGTAAGCAGTAACAATATGAGATTTTTGTATCCCATTTTTTTGGATGTTTTGTATCCAAATTATGATGTAGAACAAATGAAATTGTTTGTTTTTTTTAGTTTGGAAGCTGTTTTTTTTAATGCATACAGTATATCCCATTAAGTTAATGTAATAGTAACAATATAGGGATAGAGTCATAAAAATTCTGTGATATACTGAACAGAGTACAACTGGGGATTAAAATCATAAAGTAATTAAGAATTGTATATCAATATTTGTTGCCTTGTAGTAAGTTCTGGATACAATTAAATATTGAATTCAATTTGTTGTAGTTGAGCTAAAAGGTGAAATCTTTGTATGTAAATACAGATCAGTATGTATTGAGTGTGTGTTCTATATTTTTTCTTTTTGAAGCTAGCTACCTGGAAGTCCATCCAAGAAGTGACAAGGCGTACAACGAGCTATATGGGAAGAAGAGCAAGAATTCTTGCAGTACTTGTGTGTTTAAGGGGTACAATAGGTGTTCGTGTAGGAATGGACCGCGTATTGTTTAGTTAATGATGCTTGAATTTTATATCTTATTAGAGTGGAATTGTTTCCCAATTTCTAATGCCCTCTGTTTTATATATTTACTTGTTTGAAATTCTTTGAATATGTGTTCAACCGAAATGTATTCATATTCATGTTATGAATTTATTTTATTTCTGTGTATTTAACGTGTAATTACTTTAAAGTGTAATTGAAAAATTATATGAGTCACAAATTTAAATTATATAAAAAATGGAATACAATCTATATACCTAAAGATATGTATAACTTAAAATACAAAATATTGTTGGTATAGAATTATAATGAATACAACTCTTTTGGCATTCTAGTTTAAGAAAAAAAAATATAAATACAAATTAGTAGTAAAATAAAATGATATTGAAAATACATTTTTGGTGAAAACATAAAACATAGAATAAGTTGTATTCAAACTAAATAGTATTTATATTTCAATATCCAATCTTGTTATATTACTAGATGAGGGAAGCCCTCAACGTGTTCAATTAAAGATTTTTTTTTAAAAAATAATTATTATTTTGTAGAAGCAACATTCATATTCTAGTGTAGAGTTTTGTTGATTTCTTTACTTGTATATTACCTCTAAAGTAATCAAATTAAATTTTTATGAACGCAATGCTTCTTAGATAAGAAATTCTAAGAAATGTACAACTCCCATAAAAAAAGATGAACCAATATGTACACCATTATTCTTATAACAAAATAATTCAATTCGATGAATATAAAAATAGGCAAGAGACGCTCAAGAAGCAAAAACACTTGCCCATATACTATCAATACATGTATTTGATTGGACACATGCATTTGGGCCAATTTCACTTCTTGAATAATACAATGGCAAAAGATCTGTCTACAACGCACATGAAAATTCATTCAGCTCCTCCAGACTCTTCAGAAGATGAGGAGGCTAACAACATATTCAGTGAGATCCAATCAGTGAGGTATGAGAAGGGTAGAATGTAAGCTAACCTTACCACTAACTCGTGGAACAAAAAATTGTGTCATATTTGTGAAAGTATGAGTCTTCACATCAAAGGGCATCTCCTGTGGCCTGCACAGTAATATCTATTGGTGACTTCAAAATCATGTAAAACAAAATACACTGGCAATATCTTGATGCTATTCTAATGACCCTTACGAGATAATTTGTCACTATTAAGTTGAATGCAATTAGTTGCTATACTTGCTAATGATAACATTGAGATGAGGCCATGTTGGTTGTGGATCAAATTCAAATAGCAAGTATGGAGCACATGAATCCATACATTAACCCTCATTATCAACTCAACTAACAAAATACAACTCAACTAATTAAAATAATAAAATAAAATTGGGAGAAGTAAAATAATTAGCTTCAAGTTGTAGAGCATCAAAGAAAAACTATTTAGTTATTTTGGACGTATTATCAAAAATCTTTGTTGCATCAGTTGCTCATTTGATGGATCTTTTCAAATATCATTTGAAAAATCTAGATTGGAGTATCTAAAATGTATCAAAAGTTTCAATAATTGCTACCCCTTGAACATAATAATGACAAATTTCAACTAAGTTGAAAAGTATGAACAAAGTTGACTGTTCTTTATCCTTGTGAAAGTTGACTGTTCTTTATCTTTGTGATTTGATTAGTTTTATCAACTGAACATTTGCAAGGTTTCATGTTTTCATTTCTCATTAAAACATTTTTTTTCAATGGTAAACTGATATAATTTCTACGACCTTTCTACTTTAAGTACATTATCGCACCCATCTTTCATGTTATTTGTTTCATAGGTTTCTGCATTCTTAAAAGTGCATCCATGTTAATTTCTCTCTTTTTCTTCACCATTGAGATAATATTTTAA